CGTCGGACACTTTCACTGCGCATTAGACATGGCTGACAGTGCGTGTCGCCAAGCAGTCATCTCACATACTTACTTATGTATACTTGCTGAAACTATCACAAGTCACGGGAACACGGCTCCCGCCCACGACCAGGATCAAGGGTCGCTGCGACAACCCGAGTCCACTTCCTTCGCGCACTGGAAACCCATGGCAGCGACGATTAATTACCACAAGATTGTTTGTCGCCGTTATGACAAGGGGCATTGGTTGTGCGCCATCACGTCGTCTCACATGTGCCCAGCCAGCGATTATGTGGCTGGCGCTTCGCCATTGATTATGCAAAATGTGCAAACACTTCAAACATTCACCAACAACTAATACCCAAAACACTCGCAGTCCACCCGACGTTCCCCATCTACATATATAGACTCACAACCCCTTGATCTTCTCTTCAAGCGCGCGCTTAATAGCTGACCCGCCGTTAGCACAAGTCTCATACCCAAAGTTTGCAGCTTGACTTACCATTACAGCTGTCGTTGGCGTCGCCAAACAACATCTTCGTATTCTCCATGAAGAACATTGGATTCGGCACATCGGCATATCCACTGGCCATACCGCGCTTCATAATGACCACCTGCTTGCTCTTCCACGCGTGCAGAACCGGCATGCCTGCAATTGCGCTACCGGGCTCCAGCGCAATCGGGTTGACCGTGTCGTTTGCACCAATCACGAGCGTGACATCCGTGTCTGCAAAGTCGTCGTTGATCTCATCCATCTCAAGCACAATATCGTACGGCACGCTGGCCTCAGCTAGCAGAACGTTGCATTGGCCAGGCATCCGACCCGCGACCGGATGGATAGCAAAGCGCACATTGACTCCCTTTGCACGTAGCATACTCACAAACTCAGCAAGCCCATATTGCGCTTTGGCCACCGCCATTCCGTATCCTACTACAATGATGACGTTCTCTGCGTTGACAAGGGCTTCGGCTGTCTCGTCGGCCGTCGTCTTGGTTATCTCCCCTTCAACCTTGGATTGAGACTGCGCTGTTGGCGCTATACCACCAAACAAGACGTTTGTGAGGGACCTGTTCATGGCCACACACATGATGTACGAGAGAATAGAACCGGAGACTCCGATCAGAGCGCCAATAGTCGTTAGCAGCGAGTTGTCCAGCATGAATCCTTCGGCGACGAGAGCGAACCCGGAATACGCATTCAACACAGTGATGACCACAGGCATGTCCGCCCCGCCGATGGCAGCCGTTGTTGTGTAACCTTTGATGAAAGATAGGACGGCATTGCCCACAAGACATGCCGCACCTATCATAGGCGCGCCTGGTGCGTACGCCAAAAACGCACCCATGGTCGCAAAATTGGCACCCAACAGCGAGCTGTTGATGAGATGACGTCCGGGCAGTGCCAATGGCCTCGAGCTCATCTTTGCGGCCAGCTTCAAAAAGGCTACAATCGACCCAGTGAATGTGACTCCACCAATGAGAACACCGAGGTATGCAGAAACCATATGGAGGGTCGAAATGTCACCAGTGTGCCCAAGAACACTGCCGATACTAGTCAGGACTGCAGCAAGACCAACGACAGAGTGTAGCGCTGCCACTGTTTGGGGAAGAGATGTCGGAGTAATCCGCCGTCCAATTACGAGACCAGCAATGGTTCCCACCGTAGCCAATCCAGCGAACTGTGTGAGCACATCGGGTGTAAAGCCAACGGCCGCTAGCGAAGCAAGGATACCAGAGAAGACACCAAGTATACCCAGAATGTTCCCGCGGCGAGCTGTCGTTTGTGATGCAAGCCCTGACAATGAGGTCATGCACAAAAGGCTACTGACAAGGTAGCCTGCTTGCACAAGACCAGCCATACCAGTCGAAGCTGCCGCAATGTAGCCTCCGCCAAACAAGGCTGCTGGGATAGCATATAACCAGGGATATTCTTTGGGGTCCGTGGGGCGCCTGAACATATCTAGCATCCTCTTGGAGATGACAAAACCGCCTGAGACATTAACAAATGCAAGTAGCACCGACAAAGCTCCGAGCGTTTGTGGAATTGTTTCCGGGAAGTAGCCGCCACCCATGACGAACAGACCTCCTACACCTACCATTCCAGAGATCGCATTTGTGACGCTCATCAATGGAGAGTGCTAAGTGGAAGTTGAAAATATCAGTGTTCTGTCTTTCACACGCCTTTTGTGCAAGGATCGCTTACCAATGCTGGTGCCACTCCCCATACAACGCGATAACCGATAAGACTGGCCAGAGCGAACGTGAAAGCATTGGACATGAACAGTGGGCCGGTGAGTTTTCCGAGGGCAAGCGCGCTGGTCATACCAGCTGTCACAGTTGCTACCTGTCTAGTCTGAGTCTGCCACGGCGTCAAAGCAACAGTATTGGCGACTTGGTCAGCGGGTGACGGGGCAGGCTTGGCCTGAGCCGGTGGAGGAGCAGGACGTGGCGCTGGGGGCAGGATTTGACCGTTGTAGGTGACAATGGCTCCACGAGTGACTTCATCAGTGAGATCAACATCATAATACTTCTCCTTTTTATCCTTTGGGGTCAGCGAAAGCAGGAATTTGGTCACGTTGTTCGAGTAAAGAGTAGACGACTGGGTTGGCAAGCGGGATGGAAGATCAGTATATCCTATGCATATAGTCAGCATCGAACATCTTCAGCAAGTATCTTTACCCACCAATAACCTTGACTCCTTCATATTTGGCCAGCTCTCCGGGAACCGTGGCTTCACAATTGCCGCCAGCTTCAGCAGCCAGATCGACTACGACGGAACCGGGCTTCATTGCGCCGAGCATTGCCTTTGTGATGAGCTTAGGGGCAGGCTTTCCGGGAATGAGGGCAGTGGTAATAACAATGTCGACTTCCCGACACTGTTCGTAAAAGAGTTTCATTTCAGCTTCGATGAATTCCTTGGACATGACTTTGGCATAACCGCCAGCACCAGATCCATCCTCTTTGATGTCAACTTCGATGAATTCAGCACCAAGAGACTGGACCTGCTCACGTGCTGCAGAGCGCGTGTCAAAACCGCGGACGATTGCGCCCATGCGGCGGGCCTGTTTTTTCAGGTTAGTAGCCTTCTCCCTCAAGCTTACACGATACTTACAGTAGCGATAGCACTCAAACCTGCAACGCCAGCTCCAATGACAAGTACCTTGCAAGGAGGTATCTTTCCAGCAGCAGTGACTTGACCAGTGAGAAAGCGCCCAAAATGATTCGAAGCCTCCAAGACAGCCTTGTATCCAGCAATGTTTGCCATGGAACTTAGCGCGTCAAAGACTTGAGCTCGAGAGATGCGAGGAATCATGTCCATTGCGAATGCAGTGGCCTTTCGAGAAGCCAGGCGCTCGACAGTCGGCCTATTCTGCACGGGGTAGAGCATGGAGATGACAGTGGCACCCTCTCGGATGGCATCGACCTCAGCATCCTTGCCCTCGATGCTGAGCGCCCGCACCTTGAGCAAGATGTCGCTTTGGGAGAAGACGCTTCGGCGGTCCACAGTCTGGGCACCAGCCTGCTCGTAAGCCTCATCTAAGAACTGGGCTTCTTGCCCCGCACCCCGCTCGACTAGAACGCGGGAAAAGCCCTTCTTGAGGAGGAGCTTGACATTCTGTGGCGTGATGGCCACACGCCTCTCGTTAGGAAAACTTTCTTTTGGCACGCCAATGGTCAAGTTAGAATAGGGGCCTGCTGTAAAAGGCGGTGACGTGGGCAGTTCCTCATCATGCGGCTCCGGTGCATGGGATGCATAGCGCGCAATAGCAGTGACCTGGGAGACGTGCTGCTGCAGGGACAGCGGGAGCGGACGGGTGAGGCTCCGTATACCAGTGGTGCCAAACTGTATGCCAGTGTGTTTGGAACGGATGTCACGTCGAAACACAGGCGTTGCTCTTGCAACTGACGGCTTCAAGGCAGCAAGCACACTGCCCCGCGGCGGACAAGCGGTTGTCCTGCACCCGGCAAGACAGGATGCTGAGGACCTCATGCTGTCTCGGAAGAAGGCGAGCAAAGAGAGAAGAAGCTCGGTGCCCGCATCTGCTGGCAGTTGATTTGGAAAACAATGGCAAGGCTGGTAGCTGTAGACTCCCGCAGCGCCGTGTAGGAGAGCACTGAAGTTGCCACGGTTTGCGAGCCAATTTGAAGGTACATAAGGGGTGGTACCTTTGGGCCGCGTTCCGCGCATGCCTCCATCTGACCTTGTATCGAATCAGAAGAGACGGGGTGTGAGCTTCCCCGCACTTGGACAATCCCCCTCTATGCGTGACAACTTACCCCACGTTTTAACCCCAGGTTTATCGTACCCCTCATGTCGTACCACAGTAACCCTACGCTATCGACGACTGTCATTGCAAGAGCGCCAAAACAGATAAAAGGGCCGTGTCCAGCCCTAAGAGTCTCGCCGCCTACCTTTGCTCAGATTTGGGAGCACGCTGATCCGTATGTGCAGAAGTGGGGTGAACGCACCGTTCCCACAAGCCCGTGCCATGCGATCACGCGCTGTGGGGCGCGCATCCCGACACTCTGGATTCCTGCTCTCTTTGGGAATGCCACTCGGCCTTCTTCCCCCCGCCTTCCGTTCATCCAGGCTCTGACGCAATCACCTTGCTGACATAATCGCTTCCTTCCACAAATGCGACACACAAAGGCCGCCATTCTGTTTTCCAACCCCAGAGCATGCATGCAATTTGATCTCACATTCACAGCAAAAGCAAGAAAGAGGTGATTTTTTTTGGTTTGCCAAATGCAATTATTGATACATTACGACTACAAGCTGTGCTATAAACGATTTTAAGGAGCGACTATGCGGCGGGCAGACAAGGGCCCAAAGTAAAGTCAAGCTGGTATATACATGGAAAGCAAATGCTGAAAACTCCGGGACCAAACATTAACTACTCATTAACATCCACCATATTCCATCAGGATTCCTGGTTCATGCGTCTTCACCATGTCGGGAACATGAGTCGTTGCTGATTGTTTTGAATGCTGGGCAGCATTTATCGGCGACCCCAGTTGAAGTTGGCGTTGACATCAAGGTCGAAGATGAAGGACTTTTGGCAGCCCCACTTCTTCTGGGTGTTGATGCTGATGTCGAGGTTGGCCTGGGCAGGAGTGAACTTCCTGGTGTAGAGACGGCAGTGAGTACCGAAGCCGACACCGTTCTTCTCCAGGTAGGCAGCCTGGAACTGGACGCAGCCACTCTTGCTGAAGCCGAAGAGGGACATCCACTGAGCGAGCCAGCCCTTCTTCCTGTTGGCCTCGTTCTGCTTCTGGGCGTAGGCGGCGCAGAGGGCAGGGTCGAAAGGTCCGGGGATGGTGGTCTGGCCGATGCAGTAGGGCTGCTGGTTGATCAGGTGCTTACCGCAAGATTGGGGCTTGCTGCAAGAAGGAGGGGGAGGCGGAACGTAGTTCTTCTTGTTGTATCCGTTGGAAGCGACAATGACGACCTCGAAGCCGGCCTGGTACTGGCCGTTGTTGGTGGCAGACTCTTTGGTAACATCCTGACCCCAGAGAGTGCACTTGAAGCGGGCGACAGAGTCAGCCTCCTTGCAAGAGCACTGCTCAGGGTTCCACTTGGGGTCACGCTCGACGAAGACGTTGAAGCCAGTACAGGTCTCGGTGGCCTCACACTTCTTGGCGCAGGTAAGAGGGTCGTAGCTGGTAAGTTCGAAGTATCCAAGGTATCCGCTGCCGGAGACGGAGGCACTCAAGTCGGTGAACGCCTTGTCCCAGCCGGAAGGAGTCTGGGCAGAGTTGGCCATCTTGTGGTAAACGGCGTTGTTCTTGAAAGCATCGACGGTGTCGGGGACGGTGGGAGGTCCATAGGCGTTGGGCTGAGCAGCGCAAGGGTCGAGAGGGTTGATGAACCCACAGTAGGTGCCGACCTCGATTTGAGTAGCACAGGCTGGGTCAGCAGTGAAGGCCCAGGTGTTGACCCAGTCGACTGGGGTGCAAGAAGAGGGAGCAAGGTTGGTCGATGACTCTCCAGGAGTAGGCAGAGCATTGCCAGGAGTAGGAGGCTGGGTGGGAGCAGGGCCACTTGGTTGGTTGCCACCAGCAGGAGGAGGAGGGGTAGGAAGAGCACCACCTGCTCCGTAAACAGGGTTAGGAGGAGATGGTGGGTTGCTGCCGTACTGCTGGGGCTGGGGCTTGTTATAGGTCTGGGCAGTTCCCGAGTTGAACCAGTTCCACAAGCCGAAGGTAGGGGAGCGAGCCTCAATATCCCTCTTGGCTGCTTGAGCAGCCGCAGGCTGGGAGCCGGCTTGAGCGGCGACAGCGAGAGCCTTATCCTGGTTGTATGTGCCGACCTCGGAAACAACACCCATCTTGGGGCCCTGGGCAACATCGTTGACGACGTTGTTAGGCTCGTTGAAGTTTTGAGGAGCAGGCGAGGCCGCTACAAGGGCGGCGGTCGCCACAAGAAGGTGGTAAGAACGCATAGTGAGTGAGCGTGTAGAACAGTTGTAGCGAGAGTATCAAAAGGGTAGAAGCGATTGGAAGGTGGTGAAGACCGGTGCTGATGATGAGATGTTGTGCCGTGTGGCAGACGTTCTTATATACAACAAGGGCTTCGCTCAGTGCTCTCGTCTCGCTTCTCAACTACTGACTGATTCGAGGTCGATGTCATGGGAAGCGCCACAAGCATGGTCGGTTAGCTCGGTTCTTCTAGTGGCAGGATTTGGCGGCTGTACCTGAGGGCACTAGTCCACTAAACCTTATCTTAGCCCCGGATGAATTGTCATGCCTGTAGTCGCCGGTCGTTTTTCAGGCACCTGCAGGTATCGAAGCATTATCACCAATCAGAAGCTATGGACATCATTATTTAGGTTATTCTCCGCCGTATACTAGCAATTGGTTCGTACACTTTTCTAGTTTCGAAGGAAAAGGAGACCTCATGGGCGTTGACAGGGAGCCTGGAAAGAGGCGCGCGATAAGAAAATTGTCAGAGCCAATAACCCTAGTACTGCATCGCAAAACAACCTGGTTCCCCACCACCGCCTGCTGTCATCCCTGGTGTTTACAGAGGTGTTTCTCCTGATTCCCTCGCGACGTGGACCAATCGAGTCATTGAGCGAAAGAGCTAGCTATTTTTGACCGTCGGGCTGGCTTTTTTGGGAGTGCAGCTTAGCCCAGAAGGACTAGCTTACAGCCCGCTGTTTACTACTTCGATAGTCTCCTCCAGGGGTACAAACATGTACTTGCCTACGACGGGTGCTCGACCAGCCCTTTACGGATACAGCGTTCGCACTAACGTTTGAGCAATGATAAGCCTTTTAGACTGGCCTGGGCCAGCCTTCTTCTCACTCGCCTATCCCCACCTCGCCAAAGACAATGTCGCAAGACCATAGCCACAGTGATGTGCAAAATACGATACAATACGGGCGAAGGAAGCGGAGCGTTTCATTCCCCACAATGTCTACTTTGCCCAAGCCTCATACTGGGCGATGATGTACGGCAAAGCCGAAGGACCCTGCGATGCCGAGCCGCGATTTACACCTGGATGTGACGAGAAGGAATAGTGAACTTGAACCTTTTTCCATCACATGGTAGGGCGGCCTCGCTGCTAAACACTAGACTGTTTGTCCAACTGTGGCAATGCAGGAAACCGGAGCGAAAGCGAAGTGGCTGGAGCGAAAAACTCCCAAGACAGTGTCCGTGTGAAGAGTAGAGCAGGCTGGCCCTTCGCTAATTCTAGTCGCAGCAAATCCTGAGCATCCGAGGCACTCCGAACAACGTCCCTAACGGGGCGTTGGCAAAGTCATGCATGGACGTCAGCGTGTACCATGGTTCTCTTCCAGATCCGGTGCTCTTGTGGGTAATTGGCATTGCCGAGCCGATGTTGAGTGCCGAGTCGTACCTCGGATTCGGGTGCCATGTAAGAGCTACTCTTCTCGATTGGAGTCCAGTCCTACGGATGATGCGGCAGATCAGCCGCACAACGTCCTGGATCAAAGCATCATCGTGCGTTCACAAGGGCCACCGGTGAGCGGTCTTTTCACCATCGTCGGTCAAGGTCCGTCCCAAAGGGGCGGCGAGAAAATCATCAGTGGGTCAGTTGGGTCTCTCGTAAGTCGGACGCTAACGGCTCGGTCGATCCCACTAGACGGCGCTAGCCCCACATGGCATGCTTCAGCCTCATGACCCCTTTATCACCATCACCACAACAATGACAACGGCTTCCCTCTTGTCGTCCTCGTCGGCTAACGGTCATCCGCCTGTCCATGCTTTATTGTCTATGAGTCTCTTCCTCGCCTATGCTCTCTGTGGCTTGTGGCTGCATGTCAGTATACATCTACGCGCCAGCCACACTTCCAAATATCCCATATGCACTACCATCTTGCACAGTCAAAGTTCACACCCACACTCACTCGAAATGCTACTATGTGTATGAACTATTCGTTCGCGCCGTGGCATCACCTTGGCATCACCTTATGGAAGAGGTATGCAAAACTCGAACCAACAACTACTACAAAAAAACTCGCAAGAAAGTCCGAGACCGAAGTAGTAGTGCACCTTACCCAAACCAGCGGTTCATGACCAGAAATACGAAAAGCATAATACGGAATAGCTTCAGGAGTAAAGTACCGTAAGGGATTTTTTTTCTTCCTGTTCCAAGTCACGTCAGTAGGCGAGTACTCGTCCGACCGGCCGAGATCCGCCTAGGGCCCCCCCCCCAATCCCCTTGACCAAGACTTTTTTCGTCTCTCCAACGTACATGCAAGACATATTTGGCTCAGCCTCGTCAAACCACACGCCTAGAGACAGCGTATCACCGGAACTGATTTCAAATCTTGTCCATGTCCACTTGCGCCCGAACCCCCGAACCTCCGACCCCCCCTGGTTGTTCTGGGCCCCCTGCATCTCTCCCGTCCCAGATCGCGATTCCACGTGTGGAGAGCGCTCAGATGACGCATGGACGGCCTCTCTCTCCACTAGGAGACTTTTTTGGGGTACCACTTGGCTTGCAAAGGGGGGCGGCGCGCGTTGTGGTATTCGCGGCTTTACCTATGTGGCTACCTGTGTGGTCTTCAAGCGCTGTTCTACTTTACATCTACATCACCAAGCCAGCCGAAGAAGATCAGAGTTCGGTCGTGTGTACGCTGGACCTTTAGCGACTAAACTCCACCTCCGGTACCCTTGGCGCCGTCGTCGACGCCGTTGTTGTCAGCATAATGTCATTGATATCTTCCTATCGACCCCAACATCAGTCCGCCCATACGACCATCGCGCGGAGCATGGCCAGTACGCGCCAGGTGACTGGGTCTGTCATCTTTTTTCGCGCACTATTCGGTACACGTCTGTTCGAAGGCACTCGCCCGTACTAGTACTACCCGTAACGTGAGGGGAGCGGCGCAAGCTCTATTTCGCTCTTGGGATCTTTTTATAGCTCACACTTGCTTGCGACGTGCCGTTGTACCCGTAGAAACCTTCTGGCTGAGCGCCATGAGGCTACGTATGCGATTTTAGTAATGCTCAGCTATGGATGGAGGGGAAAGCATATATACCTTTCCACTCACTTCTCCGCTAGTGTGTGGCTGGGTGTCTTCTGATGTGTTTTTTGCAATGGCTGACGATATGTCCATACTTGGGATCTCGCTCGCTTCCAAGTATGGTTGCTTTGGAGCGCCATGGTGTTTGCGGTGCAACAGGCCACGGTGTATTCTCAGTCTCATTGCCAGCCGTTGTTGATATTCTTGACAACGAGTCTCCATATGCGCATACAGGAATCGTTCGGGTTTCTACAAATGAGTATATTGCCTTGGCGCTCACCTTGTACTTTGAGCTACTTCTAGACTCCACTGCGTATAACACCTATGCTTTTGCCATTGCCTCGGCCACATCGGCCATGGCAGGAAATCGCCTTTAATATCTGAATTCTGGTTCAGCTGCGCCAAAATCCGCTCCATATTTGCTCCAACCGCACAAAGTATCATCCGTTGACCGACTATTACGTTATATCTCTTACTCAAGATCATCCGGTCGTATAGCGCGGTTGCAACGTGAAACTGTATAGACTTCGTATCTCGAATTACCCGGAGACGAACAACCATGGCCGAGAAGCTGAGGGCTGAGTCGAGAACGAATCGCAAACAGTGGTTCGATTAATGTAGCTTCATATTGCGGGGGAAATTGGAAAGGGGACCGAAAAGTCGTTGACCAGGGAGTTTTCTCCAGACAACAGATTGAATATGGGAAGTTTAAGTGGGGAAACAATGTGCAAGGGTGGTGGTGACAAAAAAAATAAGCACAAACGGTTGACGCCAGACATCCCGGTTAAACCTCACAGATTGAATCGGGGGAGACAAGATGTCGAACCATGGGGTTTTGGTAAGATGGCGGTATTTACCCAATTAAGCGAGACGTTCCATATTGCTTCGATATTACCGCGCGCTATTCGAGACCGTGTTCTGTAAGCACAAATATTCTAGTACCACTCGGAGTACGGGACAGGTGTTTTCCTTTTTGTAGTAGGCCGTGCAGCCAAGCCCTGCAGCATTTGTTTCTATTGTCCGCTTCCCGCCTGGTTCGATACCTTTACAACCGCACCCGGACATATCACCTGACCTAGACCTGAATCTTTTTTTCGGTACTCCCCTACCCTTGCCAACCGTGTATATTACCGTGACACGGCCGAGGTTTATTCTTAAGCGCTGTAGAAAGCGGGACAGCACTATGATGCAGGTCCAGAGCCTCGCTGGAGACATGCAATCAATCTACCTGCGATTGAAGCTTTTCGTATCTTTACTATAATGCTTCACTCCCGCGTTTTTTTCCAGGGTCTCGCTGCAGGACGCCACCTACCAGACAATGGTCCTGCTGCAGATTTCCCCACCAGATGTACCTCATCCACACAATTACCAGTCTCATTTGCACTGCTACTAAAAAAGAAGAAGAAGAAAAAGCACTGCTAATCATGATGTGAATCGATGTCAATGTCTGATTTTTGCAACTCCAGCTACGTTACTCTTAGTCATGAAGCTCGTATGTGGATATAATACCCACTCCAGTCACGACTACCAGCGACATCGAGCACTCAATCTAAAAGACATCTTGTTAAACCTTGGCAGAGGATTAAGACATGGTTAGTACTTAATACAGATGCCACTTGAATTGAACCTAAAATTGGAAACTGAACCCGGGCCCCGCCCCAGAAACCGACACTTGACCTCTAGTCATCCATATTGACTGACAGCTCGTGATGTCGAAAGGCGGGAAGCGGGAGAGAGAGAAGGGACAGGGTGCCTGACAACAAGCAGGGTGGGAATCTGAAGCCGCGGGATAATATATACTGGTGTATCATTTGATGCAGAGACGGAGAGAGAGAGAGGAGAGAGTATAAAGAGGAGGTAGTTTTCCCTTATTTGTGTTGAGAATCATTGCAAGATCAGATTCCAATCCAGTCCTTCACTTCTTCTCGAAACACTTCCAAGCCCTACAGCTCACCACCCCCATTCACTTGTATAAACTTCTTTTTGCAACCATGCATTCCAAAATCGCTGCTTTCCTCCTTCCTCTGCTCGCCACTGCGACGCCAGTGAAGCGGGCTGATGGACCCAACCCCAATGATATTACCATCTCGGATACTACCTACTCTGGCAATGGATGTCCCCAGGGCTCCGTCTCTACGAGCAAGTCGGCCGACAAGACTGTAAGCTTTTAACACGTATTCTGTTCCATCTCACCATACTGCACCTTTCTATCCCCCCCATCCTTCCCCCAACCCAACCTCCAAAAAAAAACTAACACAACCCCCTTCTTCTCTCCCAAAAAAGGTCATAACCTACGGCTTCGACAAATTCCAAGCCTACATCGGCCCGGGCACCGTCCCCTCGGACCGCTCCAAAAACTGCCAAATCCACCTAAACCTCCGCTACCCAGGCGGATTCCAATACGCCGTGGTCGACGCCACCTACCACGGATGGGCGCGCCTCGACGACGGCGTAAACGGCACCTTCATCACGACCTACTACTTCAGCGAGGACGCCGGCAAAACGCAAACAACGCGCATGTCCGTCTCGGGCGGTGGCGCCTTCGCCAACGGCCTCGTCTACACCAAGCAAGATAGTGTGGAGACGACGGCGACGATTTGGAGCCCGTGCGGCGCAAATGGGATACTGAATGTTAATAACCGTATTGCGCTTACGAGTAAGAATGCGAATGCCGCGGGTGAAATGAGTAATGATGATGCGACCGTCGCGTTTACGCATCAGTTGCATGTTGCGTGGAGGGAGTGCAAGGTTGCGAATGCAGCGGGTGCGGCGACGGCGGGTGATTCGATTGGTATTGGAAGCCCGAATGCTGAGCTTGAATTTGCGTAGATTTTTTGCTGACGCTGTGGGTAGTGCTTTAGGTTTTCACATGATGGATGAGCGATGGTGTGGGGAGAGTGCAAAGGGGAGAAGGTGAAGGAGAGGCTGAAGGCGGATGTGTGCTGGACATGGGGGAGTGTAGGGGTCTTAGTGGTTTTTTTGGTGAAGATTGAAGGTGTAGATAGTTGGTATTGTTTTTTTTTCTGGATTTTCGATTTTCGATCTGCTATGAATTCATGCTTCTTTACTGGGAAACAAGTTGTGCACCTTTTCTTTCTTGTTTCGACTATGCATTTCATTAACACTAGTCTACTATTATTTGAATCAGGTTTATTGGGCATGGAAAATTTATTGATGCGTTCATGTTCTTGACACACGAATAACAAACATGAACAACACAAAACGACATGTAATGCAATCCATGCATGCAAGCCGAGCAAGCACCGTGATACAAGCGTTGCGTCGGATGTGCAGATCCCGTGCAACTTAGGTGCGACCAAGTGGCAACCTCAGTACAACACAACCCCTATAATCATCAAAAAGCGTGTGGCATTTCCACATGAAGAGAAGTGAAAAAAAATGAACTGAACCGACAGAGCGGTCGGAATGGAAATGTGTCTTCTCAAACAAAAATTTATATCATGTGACTAAAAAAAATGCAACAAAGAACATGTAAAACCGAAAGTAATGGCGTTACCGTGACCGGCGCCTATCCTGAATCGAGCGTAGGACTTCGAGCCAACCACCATCATCAATGTCGTCACCCCCTGTAAATTGTGGAGAGAGAATATCAGGAAGCTGAAGAAAATCAATAGGTAGTTACCATGTACTTACCGTTGCGTGAAGCCGTACTTGTGGCTGATCCTCCGCCGCTGACAACAATAGGGTTGCTATCGACCGCATGTACCGCCAAGCCGTTACCGGCTGATGTGACTGGTGGATCTGATGCGGAATTCCGGATGCGGATCAGGGTGATACGTATGCGGTATGTACCCGCTTGACGGATGATAAGTTCAGGGAAGCGCATGTAGCCCACGCCGTTTGGATCGGCCATGTCCATTGAAGCAATGAAGCCGTCGGCCTCATCGTCGCTAAAAGGGTGAACAGTGTCGAAGATTCGGCCGGAGAGCAGTGTATTGAGAGCGCTGGGATCGGGTGAGTCTGCCGGACTGGAAGCAGGAACCAGAGCGGCGACTGCGACAAGGTTGGTCGAGTCTGCAATAGCGTCATCGGCGTCAGCATTGGTGGTTCGTAATCGGACAATGATGGAGCCAGGTATGGTTTGTCCGACTTGGGCGGTGCGCGGCGGTTGCACTACAATGTCCATGGCGTACCGAATTTCGTCGGGTGAAAGGGAAAGTCGACCTGATCTTGAATTGCCAGAAGTGCGCGCGCTTCCAGGGTGATGAACTGGGCGATGGGACCTTCCCCCAAGCGCCCTTGGTCTCGCAACGTCAGCCATTGAGGATGTAGTGTCGGCCAATTGACGGTCTGATTGTCCGTTGAGCAATTCGGCGATTCGGGCAGACCGTCTGAGTGGCGGGTGGCTGTCCGTGTTGTGTGCAGTGGTATGGCCCGATGAGGTTCGGGACTGCGATGTTGAAGGCGAGTTAGACGTGACTCTCCTGGAAGCGGTGGCCCGGCTAGAATTGTAATGTCTACCTCGTCCTCGTCGTGAGCCCCTTGGCATCTGATGAAGGTCGAAACTGTTTCGCTTAGTAGAGATTCATAAAGGGATTGAGTCAGGTCGGCGTTAGCTCTGCTGTAGTGGGAGAGAGGGTATTGTGTGGGGGGTTGGCCGGGGCCAGGATCAGAGAAAAAGAAGGACAGAAAGAGCAAATTGAATCGGTAATTTGAAGCAGGAAATGACTGGCAAGAAATGGCAAGGAATGTCAATGGAGCGTGACGCCATGGACGTGGTACTAGGCGATGTTGATAGTAAAGATATAGGAAATGAAGACAAGCCACGAGTCAGCCGGGTCATCCAAGCCGAGTGGTGGAGGGCATAGTGTTGACCCTCGGCCATGACGACAATATGCTCATCAAGCGTGAAAGAGTCCAATACCAGGGCCCTTTAATCTCATGAAGCGGTGGTGTAGAGCAAGAGAAGAGCTGCGATAGCATTATGACGAAGAATATAGGCCGAAGTGGATAGGTGCAGGGACTCGCTCACACACAGGCCCTGGTTGGGGCCCCACGCGCGGACTGGTTTGGTGGAGAGCAGAGTGCGGCGGGGGCGTGCGGCTGTCGCCCGCGATTCCGTCCTGTGGCCAGAAAGGGAGCCCCCGTCCATGCGCAAAGGGTGACAGCTGTCGAAAGAGGACAGCAGTGGCAGATGTGATGGGGCGGAACATGTGGTGGAAATGCAGCAGAGGGCGTTGCAGGTAAATTGACGAATGTGATGCGTCACAAGAAACCCGGGCAGCCATGTGGGCGACCGGGATTGTGAGTCGGGGCGGCAGGAACGAGGCAGGAACGAGGCAGGAACGGTGCAGGAACCGGGCAGCAACGGGGCAGCGAAGCGAAATGAACTGCTCACCTTGGGGTGTGTCGCGCTAAGACGAGTGTTCCCTCCTTCCTTCCTGGCTGGCGTGTGTCTGTTGCTCTGGGCCTGTTACACAATGCCGCTGCGCTGCTTATGGCGGTGGGGAGAGGCCAGTGGTGAGTGGTACGTATCCTGCCTTGATGCCTTGATGCCTTGACGCCTTGACTCCCTGACGACGCCCACCTGCGACAAGACTGGCGATACGCGGTGCCACGGCGATAAACGCCTACGTATCTGTGTATTATGCTTCCCTGATGCCTTCATTAGCCATGTCTACCCTCTCCACACTTGGCCGTCGATCTATCCACGACCCAACCTCCCAAGGATCCGATGTGTTCCGGCATACCTGTCCTTGGCCCTCCTTCTCAATCACACCCCAATATCCAGTGCATGCAAATCAAAGCAAGTCGAGGATGGCCACTCCGGAATCTCGTCATCCGTCGGTGATGAAGGACGCAGAGAGGGACCGTGTCTCACCTCAGGTCGAGGGTTGCCAACTAACTGACCGTGCTGGCGACGATGAATACTCTGGCCCATTTTATACAACCCACACGCCTAGCCACCATCTCCATCGCTCTTGCCTCTTGTAGTCCCCTGCAGCTGCCTCTCTTGGCTGACCGCCCTCTTCCTCATTCTGAAAGTGTTGCCGCCTGCTTCCCTTGCCTTCACCACCCTCATCGCCCCTGTGCTAGCTGCGCGTCCGTCTAGTGCAGCCACCATCGACATGTCGCTCATCCAGTGCCACAATCCCAACATCGGCTTCTACACCCCCTAGCCCGCCATCACCCTGCGGATACCCTACCCGGTTGCCGATCTGGGGTACCACCACAAACCCAGCTTCATGGGCCCGTTGCATGGCCTGCGAGACCATAAATCACCGAGCCGTCGCCATGGATTGAACAGACCGTACCACACCCCCACCACCCTCCCGACAGCGTAGCCAGCAGTGACACGAAAAGAAACCCATTCGCATCAAAAGTACACAAACATCTTTGGTCTCCGCGCCTCACTGGCGACTTGCAAGAGTCACTGCCAATCACGGCCAACCCGCCTTTGCCTGCTCCAGCGACCCGTACTCGTCATCCCGCCGTCTAACTCACAAGCTACCAACGGCGCTGTTCGCGAGCCGATCCTAGCTTGACTAACGGCTACGTGCAGCTGCTAAGTACATGGCATTTTGACTCGACTTCTTAACCCAGCCGGAACAAACTTGGCTCGTGGTATAAATCCCATATGCGATTTTTCAGCCTCATCTTTAAGTCCTTGTGCATGTTGTTACGCGCAGCAGATTTGCATAAATTCGAGAAATACTGTCCATGAATGCTGGTGAATGACATGTCTCTTTGGTCAATCGACATCTCGCTAGCTTGTGCAACTTGCTGACAGTTCATCATTACCGGCGCACCTTCTGATTGGGGTTCCCTACAACCACTACCCTGGCTTACTACATTCGATAGACTCTGTAAGCTTGATCTGGTATGACGATTCATTGGTGAGGCCATCTAGAAGACATGCGTCATGCCACCTTCGAATAATCTGGATATGGCCTGCTCGACAGGAACCCATGTTCGCGGGTAGGCGCAGATGGCGAGGATAGCCCTGGTCTGCACTACCCTCATTTCCTTGGAGAAGTACTACTCGTTCCACGCGGGAAAGGGCGGTGATGCTTTTATGGAAGTGGACCGCAATGACCGGGACCAGACAAGTGAACTCAATTCTTGTATGATCGCTGGATACAAACCGCGCCGAGGTTCCGACAGGTTCCGCTCTTGTCAGCCCTCTTGAGACACCTGCATCTGTTTTGCTTCAACTCCTCTTCACCATGGCCTGGGCTATGACAGCTACTAGTGGAGTGCTTACAAGAAATTGTAACTGGAAGAAAGGTCTCAGTACAATGCACTCCGCCTCCATGGTTTTCATATTTATGGAGTAGACGTTCCGAGCCGATGAACATAAAGAGTTCCACTCTTTTGCAAAGAGGAACCTTCCCAAGTCGTAAATTCCAGCATTCTCGTCTCGAATCGGAGCAAGTATCCTGGTCTTCACCCTAGCCAGAGCTGTCTAGATGCATAAGCATTTGTTTGACCATGGAATCCGGACTGAATTCAGTACCAGTACAGATGGAATCATGATTTCGGCATGCGAAGGTGTCTGGGAACGTGGTTGAGCGCAGAAACTGATCGTTTGTACCACGTTGCACAAGCGGCTACTCCTTCGAATGCAATCCAGACCCTGTAAATCAGCCAGGTCACCACGACGATCTCCATATCACTAGAGTGGCAAAGATGGTTGGCCATCAGTTTTCAGCCGTCCTTGTATCGTGTTTAGCCGTGCGCTTTCATCATGTACAAACACAAAGCGGGAAGACCTGTAAACAGGAAACGTGCTCATCACAACTCTGGAATTCTCAAACGTGGGAAAGCTCGAGCTATCGTCCCAACGAGCTGTTCAGTTACACCAGTCG